TGAAACAAAGACTAACACAAAAGGGACAACTATTTTACAATCTTACTTAAATGAAATTCATAGAAATGGGATGTAGACACATGATTTCACAGATGAATAGATAATCCATCCATTTGGGAAGTATGGTATATATATATATACAATGGGATTTTTATTCAGCCTCAAAAAGGAAGTTAAACTATATGAAACAAAGACTAACACAAAAGGGACAACTATTTTACAATCTTACTTAAATGAAATTCATAGAAATGGGATGTAGACACATGATTTCCACAGGGCTGGGAACAGGTAGAAGAGGATAGGTGTTTTTTGTTGTTGTTTCGTTTTGTTTTGTTTTTTCTTTTTAGAGGGTATAAATTTCAGTTTTACAAGACAAAAAAGTTCTGGAGCTTAGCTATACAACAATATAAAAATACTTAAGACTCCAGAACTCCAAAAATGATTAAGATGCTATATTTTATGATGTATTTTAACATATACATTTTTTTTTTTTTTTAAGAAACAGAGTCTGTTACTCACCTCATTGTGTTACTAATTTTTCACAACAGTATTCCTTATGGCTTCAGTGCTCCACAGGAACGGGCTCTCTCTTGGTGCTATTAAAAGATATCAAAGGATTTTCTGTGGTGTTTTGAGTGACTTCTAAATTAAAAATTGCTATTCTATGTTCTAAAAATTACATTTAGGGAATAAGGCAGACAGTGTTTTCCTGCTGGCTGATGCTAACAGCTGCAGTGTTTTGTATTTAGATCTCTGGAGGGTCCAGAAACAGAATAAACAGAGATCATCCCAACTGCCCAACACTGACACACTTGAAACCAGAGCAAACACATCATGAAGTGCATCCAGGGGCCATGTATACAATTTGCATCGCTATTCAAATCCTAGACTTACATGCATCTTTACCCTCAGCAGTGACTGTAATTCCTTTTGTTCACCAGCAGTTCACAGGACATTAATCTGAAGTATCTAATAAATCATGGGTCTAAAATAGGGTTGTAGATAAATGCCAGCCCAGATTATTGAGGGTGGCAGATGGCATCCTTCTCATTCTTGCTGTCTGCTATTGGAGAGGACCTGGAACAAGAGGAGTTTCCATCCTTTAATCCTCTCTGCTTTCATTTCTCAATCTTCAACCACATGTCTAAACAGCTGGGTGTTTAGCCCCCCTCCTGCACATAGTATGCACAATTAATCACAAGCAACTAATTGATGATGTAAACAAATATTTAGAAGATCACAGTAGGAATGCATTGATTAATAAAATTACATTTACTACTGTATATACCTATTTTATAGCCTTCCCTAGCCATTTGATCTTGTAATATATGGAGGAATTAAGAATTATGACTGGCGACTTCAAAAATACCTCATCTGATTGGAGACTTGCTAAATACTGACCACCAAAACAGCTGAGGAAGCAAAAACATTTTTCTCCCAACTCATGTTTTTCTTTTTTTTATGAAAAAAAAATGATTGTGGGGGGTAAAAGAAATCAGTTAGCATACAGAGAAGAATCCAGGAAGGAACAGAAGCTGTCTCTGTTCACTGTGTCCAACTCAACTCTTGTGTACAACTTAAACACCACACAATCCTAAAATACGGGACTGGCTTGTCTTTACCTCCACTTCATCTCTTACATGGACTTGCCCTCTCCATAAAGCTGTTTCACATGAAAGACTTTGCCTTATCTGCCTTTGTAGTCCCAATACCCAACGCAGAGCCTGATACATACTAGATACTCACTAAATGATTATTGGACCAGAGTCAAAGTTTGACATGACAACATACATAGGGTAACATGCACAGGACAGATATGATGTCGAAATTAAAAAAAAAAAAGAAGTGAGGCACAGTAGAAACAATTTCTACCCCTAGAACTTTTCCTGATTTAAATAGTGTCCTTCTGTGCTTTGTACTGCAGACAAAATTCCTGTAATGCTGAATTGGCCATTATGCTGCCCAGGGCTTAAGGATGCAAAGCAGCACTGCTACTTTCTGAAAGGAGACTACCCCCAAGAGAGTATCTACCTTATATCTTGGAGGGAAGGAGCTAAATCTAGGAGTCTCTGGAAACTGATGGAGCTGAAATTAAATTTCTTTAATGCATTTCAAAACTATTCAGTAACGGGTAATGTGCGTTTCTCTCTAAGCCAGATAAGCAATTTTAGATTTGCAGCAGTGCAAGCTAGAATTCAGAATTTATTTCCAAAGGCAGAATAAAAAACTCATAGACTCAAATAGCTGCTGACCTTGATGTGAAAGCCAGAAATCAGTTGCTGAAATTTGATTATTTCTACGTACCATTCCCACTATCATACTGAATAAACCAGTCTTGAAAGAAAAAAAAATCAATTGCAATGGAAATATTTAGCCTTAAACTACCTACTCTGCTTCCTGTTAGGGCTTCCCCAGCAATGCAGTACGGTAAGATTCAAAGACTACTCTAAACACAAAAGTATCCTTTAAAAAGTAAATGCTATTAATTGAAAATATTCGCTTAAATTAAATAATCAAATATAATCAAAGAAAAGCAAAGACAAAAAATGTTTTCCCAGAATTCATTATATAGAATCAATCCGTTTTTTTTTTTCAGTAGATTTTAAAGATGAACATTTAAAAAAAATTGCAAGGTATAGTTTCAAAAATCCAATTACAGAATAAGCCTACACACAAAGTTCCAAGAACGAGGGCAAAAACAGGCATAGATCCCAAATTGAAGAATAAAATCGACGAAAGAGCATTTTATAGTCGCATTACCTCCAGTGCAGAGGATTGCAGTGGGGCCAGCAGATTTATTTGCAGCTTGGTTGGCATGAAACGGAAAGGGAGTCTCCTCTGCTTGCTTCTTTCCTACCCCCTTTCTTAAACTAGGCTTCCAAGCTCTCTGCTGGTGCAATTGACAACCTACGGAATGCGCTGCCCGCCAACTGAGCACCCGGAAAAGGGGACAGTCCCCGAGTGACCACCCCTCCTTCCCTTTGGGCGACGCTCTACTTCCTGTTAGGCAAAAAGGCATTCCCAAGAAGCTCGGTTTTGTAGTTTCCAAGCCACCTCCCAAAGCCATACCCTCTTTTTCGGTTTCCTCTCCTAGGTAGCAACTTTTAATCATTCACGTGACGGGCCAGCTAACCTTGTCTAAACAATTCCCCAGAAAGATGCTGGAGTGTGTACCCAGCCCAGGCCCGCAAGGCCCCCAGAATCCCTCATCCAGCCAGCTTGTGGCTGAACTTCCTGAAATGGTCCATAGTGACAGCTACTGTCCTGGGGTGGCCGGAGTGCTAACGGGACGTTTGTTTGCGTTTGTCTTCAGGGTTGCAACCAATTGAAGGAGGGAGAAACAGCATGAAGCCATAGCCTCCATGGCCGCTTTCGAAAAGAATTCCTTTAAATTACCTTGAAGTGTTTCTTTTGCAAGGCACCCAACGATCGCGTCCCGCGTGGCGGTTTCCGCGGGTGGAGTGCACTCCCTTAGCGTTGACCTCGCGAAGCCATCGTCGAGCATCCTGCGCACGTGGCTGCCTGGGTCCTTCAGTGGTGTTTGCTGCCTAAAGCACCACGGGGATTTGAGGTCCTTAGGGGGTTAACGCAGAAGGGGCAGGCGTGGGCTGCACT